GAAGGGCCCAGAAGGAAATATCAGGTTTCCAGGAAAGTCAGACATCTGACTGCAATAGTCAGGTATCTAGGGAGGAGAAATTTAAAGCAGAAAGCAGACTGCCCATCCAAGCTCTAGGGCCCCCAAATGACATGCTCCCTGCCTCAGATAAATTCACTTACAAACCTTTACTCATGCATGACCAAAGCCCTTCCAGTGGACCCATGAATGCTTCTCAGGTACAGTGGGTTCACTTGTCCACAACAGGGCTTAGTGTGGAACAGCAACAGGAGCCCTGGATGCATTCACATGTCTTAGACAAGTGCCAGAACAAGGACTTCCCTCCATCTGCCAAGAATGCATACCCTCTGGCCTACAAAACAGAAGAATTTGGTGCAGGTGATACTTCCATTGACCAAAAGAAATGAATGGGAGACAGTGGCAGACAGGTCCATACAGTTCCAGAAACGTGTGGCTTTACATAAGAAACTACTGTGTCAGAGGCCCATCCATGCCTCACAGTAGCCAGAGCTTCACCAATATTTCATCTGTAGTTGTAATCTTGGCCAGGTACCTTCAGTTGCTCCCCTTGGTTGTAAGATCTGTGTGAGGAAGCTCATCTCAATTTTACAAGCAGAAAATCCTTTTACTGAATTTCTATCAGAAAAAAAATTTCTCCCTTCCTCTGTATCCCATCCTTTATTGATAATACTGACTGCCCCCAATAAATGTTCTGATAAAGTGTGTTTGTGCTTTCTCCATGTGGCATGGCTTTCAGGTAACCCAGGGCTTGTGCTCAAGAAAAAGGACAAGTCAGTTTTGTTCTCACTTATTTCCTCTCTGGGCTTCTGAAATATGACTTGATTCCCTGAGGCTCTTTTTGAAGAACGGGTGGGATATGTCCCTAAGAGAATTTTCACTCTCTGGTGGCTTGGGGAGGAGCTCCGCTTCCTATCTCTTAGCTTAGCCTTATTTCCAATATACGGCATCCCACACTGTCTCCTTCATTGACTTTCATATCCTTGAGAGCAGAGGTTTCCTTACTAGGTTTTGTCAACCTACAAAGGAAAAGTACATTTGTGAGATTTTTAAGATAATTTTGTCATTTTTATTGTTTAGAATTTCATACCATATACTTTGATAATTTTCACCCTCACCCCTCTCCCTAATTCCTCTGATGCATCTCTTGAAGCTTTGAGGGGAAGAGGCTGTGAGGAACACAGCATGGCAGCTTAACTCTAACCAAGAAGACAGCTAAAGAGGAGAGTGGCCTTATTCATCCAGGCTTGGGATATGATCTTTTTAGCATGATCAGCATCTTAAAGGGATAGGCCCTTTATCTAACAGCTTTTAGAATGCCTACCCTATGCACCAACAAAAATCCCAACAATAATATAGCTGAAACAGTAATGAGTCTTTTTGTCTTACTGCCCTACTTAGCTTGTTTATATAGCTTAAATCTTATTTTGAAAGTTCTTTTGTTATAACCGAAAGCTGAAAATCACATTCAATGAAATTGTATGAAGTATCACAATGAATTTCCATCTTTTCTTTATTTTTCTAACTGGTCTGTTTGCTTAACTGTTTTGGCCCTGATTCATAGGGACATTACCTATATCTTTTAGGCTACATAAATTACAAATATCAACTTCACTTATTTTATTCATGATTTGTGTCATATTTAGATGTATCTTAATGTTTTAAGAAAACAATTACATATGTATATATCTCCTCAAGCTACAGTGTTAGACTGCCCCCACATTATTCTAATGCCTATCTTGTCCTTTACCTCAAGAGTTTCATTCCCTAACTAGAAAGGTAAAGCACCCCAGTCCTTCAGGAAATATATGTCCTTTATCCCTGATCCTATAACAGTAAGTGAAATGTCTTAGGGGCAAATTTATAAGTGACTAAGCCAGGTAGGCATTCTTGGGAGTAGACTCATATTAATGTAGCTTCAAAATACCTTATTTTCAGCTAAAATTTTATGGTGCAGACTGAACATACCCAGGGGAATTTCTGTTTACCACTTTAATCATTTATGTGTTCTGTGACTTTGAGCTAAATGTGGCACCCAAAATGTGTCTATAATAGTATATATGTATAATGACCTTAAGCTCATCATGCTTAAGAATTGGCCTGTCCACATGTACACATATCCCCTCATAATAAAATCCTCATGCTTCCTTTGTTTAGGGGAAAACATTGTTTTGGAAATTTTAAAATATGTCCGTGCTGTACTCACTTGCTGCAGACAGTTTTGTTCTACTCCTTGATATCATAGCTGTGCTTAATTTGGCTTTTCATTCACTGAGTTGTGAACTCAGTTGCATTTGGTTACATTCCCAGCACTATCTGCTCCAGAATGGAAAGCAAAGCCTCTCACTGAAGTCAGCTCATTTCTTTTTACTCCAAAGCATGACTGGGCTTTAGTTTAGCAATATGAACAGTAACCATAGCATCATCATGGAGGGCAGGGCAAATTGTAGATCTTTCTGATCCTCCTCTCTGGTGACATCCTTGTATCTGGCAAGTCCAACCTCAGGCTCACTGGTCCTATACTACAATATCTCCCAAAGCAGATGTCTGATGCTCATTCTCAGTACAGGCCAGACTAAGGCTTTACTAGACATCTGAGGCTTAGGCAGCAGCCATGTAGGCACAATCTGTGACAAAGGAAGGTGTTCAAGCCCTCTCAAGAGGTCTCTGGAGTTTGATTCCTATTCCACTACTTACTGCTGATACCCCTCTTTGTGTAGTTATTCTGGGCTAATAGAGCTCAGTTTACCTTCACAAAGATATGAATAGTGAGTACTTCAGATGCTATCAAGTAATAGATCAATTAGGCTGAGTTAGAGCTGAGTTTTGGCTGTGTTCTTTAGTAGGCTACTTTTAGATTGAGATTCATGGTTTAGACTGTAAGAACATTGGGTGTTTTGAATAAGATGACCCCCTTAGGCTCATATTTTGGAATGCTTAGTCACAAGGAAATGGAACTCTGAAAGGATTAGAATGATTAGGACATGTGGCTTTGTTGGAAGAAGTGTGTCACTGGTGTTTGACTTTGAGGTTTCAAAAGCCCATGCCAAGCCCAATGACACTCAGGTTTCTAGAGTCCAGCTAGTCTGAGGGGCTGTCATGGTAACTGTAGGGCCAATGAAGGAACTCATAATCCATACTGAGCCACCTGAACTTCCCTTACTAAAGGATATGTATGGTCCACACTACTGACAGGCTAATTTCTCTCCAGACTTTAGAGCCCTCAATGAAGAAGATATCTTGCTAACTGGCATCTCAGAGTCTTAATGAACTTTGCTGCAAGACCCCATAACCAAGCTTGTCACTAAGTGAAGTGTTTGAGTTCTTAATTCCATAGATCTTGAAGCAGCAAGGTCCAATATGAATATAGATGTACAACCAGCTGTAGAGGTATCTTAGAAGTACAGTTGTGGCCAGATAGAGAGTCTGCCAAAAAAGTTTCTTGCAAGAACCAAGAAGACATTTTCTTGTGTGTGTGCAGGTGAGGGGGGGTTGAGGCATGCTTTTATGCATCTCAGGCTCATTTAGAATTTATTATAAAGCTGAGAATGGTCTTGAACATCTGATCCTCCTGCTTCTACCTCCTAAGTCCTGGGATAACAGGTGTTTGTCATCATACCTTGTTTATGCAGTACTAAGGATCGAACTTGGATTCTTTCATGATAAACAAGCACTCTATAGACTATATCCTGGGGCTGAGGCTGTATGCAGTACACTTTCTTGAATGTTCACAAGATCCTTTTGTGATGGAAGCCCAGTTGCACATGCAGCAAAAGATTGAAAACAAGAACACTGCTCCTAGTAAACACAAGTCCCTGTACCAGCAGTGAGAGTCCAGGAAGTTCAGATAACACCATGATTAGAAAGGATTTATTTTGCATCTCATGAGTTGTGTCTGGTTCCTGTGGACCTGGGATAAGCAGGAGCTCTCCTCTTTATTGAGGGTTCTAAAAGCTGGGGTGGGCAGCATTGTGAGGCCTCTTAACTCTTGCTGGCCACATACATACTCTGTGCCTGGTGCAATTGCCTAAAGAATGGGCCCACAAGACCATTTTTTGTTGTTTTAAATTTTCCTAGATTACTAAGTCCTGAGTCAACTAAACGATAAGATTACAACAAGTTCTGACCACTGAAGGGTGGACAGAGACAGGTATGGCCTGGGCTTCAGACATCAGGGACCAGGTTTGTGGTAAGAGTGGGGCCTCTCGGAGTAGGTGAGGGTGATGCTGAGTATTCATCTAGGAGTAGAGATTTGAGCACTGTTGGTTTAATGTTTAGTTTTCATACAGCCACTAGAACAGCTTCTGTCTGCTTCTGACTAATGCTCCAGTCCCCCACATCCATTGAGGCTTCTAGCCACAAGTCACATGTCTATCCCTTTGACTTGATCCTAGCACAGCACCCCACAAAATCACTTCAAACAGTCTCTCAGGTTCTCTGTGCATTGGCTTTTCCTCCTTAAAATCTCAGGAGTGCTTCTGCCCTACTTCAGGAAGAGGCCCTTGCTCCCTTGAACTTCAAGGACAGATGTAAAGTTCTACTTTCCCAGAAGGATTTGGCATTCCCCAAGGCATGGACAATCTACAAGGCAAGAGAGATGTCACTTTCTAACTAGAATGAATCCTTACTCCTCAGTATCCCTGTAGTGGGCATGCCCCCACTTGCCTCCCCAATTAGGCATGTCCTAATTTCCTTGCCTTTTCCTCAAGGAGAGTTTCCTTGTGATGCTCCATCTCTTCCCTTTTGAGGTCTGATGGCTAACTCCAGGGTAAGTCTGGTCACCGAGGGATATGGGAAACCTACAAGGTTGGTGCAATAAGACTTGAAGAAGGATGAAGCTTTATTGCTTGGCTTTCCTGGGCTTGTTTGTGTAGTGGCAGTGAATGGGCAGATATGATGAGGAAAAGATGCAGATGGTAAACTAAAGAGTGGAAACTATAGCTTAGAGAAGCCTGAGCCAAGAATGCCCAAAGGCCTGGTGCTCACCCTGGGGCCTGGTCTTGAGCCTCAGGGATAAATAGTAGCAGGAACCAGATTTGTGCAGCTATGAGGATGCTGCAGGGCTGTGGGGAGCCAGCAGCTCTCAGAGGCCTGGGTTGAAGTTCTGTGTGAGGAGACACAGATTCAGATTCTGGAAGTGGAGTGAGTCCCTTGACTTGGCTGATCCAGTCAGTGAAGTAGGTGACCCTGGTGAAGACGCTGGGGTAAATAGGACGCCGGCAATCCAGGCCCCAACTGGCCAGTCCTACCAGGACCCATGCACTGGTTTGGTAACAGATGAGGGGCCCCCCAGAATCACCCTGAGGAGAGAGACAGTAGTTAGTGTGAGATCTACTTAGAACCAGAATTACCAATTGCATGTTAGGACCCTACAGAGACAAGATGGATGAGGACAGGTATCAAGCTATAAACATATGGACCTTTCCCTTTGTTTGCCATGCCTGATGTCTAAAAGGGAAAGTTTAGGGACTTGTAAGCAAGCTGGTTCTGCTAATCTATGTGTAGATCCTGGCTCTGTAAACTTTGAGCTGCTGTAATATATCCAGTCAACTCTACTGCCTTTGGTAATTTTGGCCTGGACTATTTTCTCAACCTATGAATGGGAACTCCTGAAAAAATATGCCTATCCCCTGGCTGGGTGAAGACAGCTCATATCACCAGGCAATAGGCAGGGGTCTTCAGAACACTGCTGAGAGTTACTAGAGTTGTGAAATGTCTTTAGGAAAACTCCATGGGAAATCCATTCTATAATGGTGACAATGTCATCTCAGAAGGGCCGAAGTCTGCAGAGATGGGGAAGGCATTGGAATCCAAACATCTGGGCCCTGGTTGTGCTACTCCACTTCAGACCAATCATTTTCCTTCTCTGGGACAGTTTCCCCAGACAATCCATTATGTCCAATAGTGAACTTACTTCTATACCATATAAAGAGTTCCCATAAGAAATTGACAACCCAACAACAAAATGAGAAACTTAAATGAAACATCACAGAAGACAGGATATGACAATAAACATGCAAAATATACTAGTGGCAAGAAAGGGAGATGGGTACCAGAAGCATGCTAAGTCATCACTGGAAGTATTACTAAACTGTTTACTTAGAAATTACATATTTGTATTTTTGTTATGCCTAAATAAAAAAGTATAAAATATGCAACAAAACTTGATGATAGGATTTGCTAAAAGAACAGCTATCTTCAAGGAGACTATTGAGGCATGAACCCAAGGAAAACAAGTAGAGGTAATAAAACAGGAAGTGTGGGGGTCTCCACAAAGACTAAAGGACAATACAGCCACTCCTGGAGGAACTGAGATAAAGAGAACAGGCATGGGGAAAACACAGGATGGCCTTACTCACCCGGCAGATGGACTTTCCTGTGGAGAGGCCCCCTGCACACAGCATTTCCTCATGCACATAGCCCCTGCTTTGGCCTGGTCTTCGCCCATATAAGGCATTACAAAGCTCGTTCTCAATAATTCCCACTTCACCTTCCTGCAGTGAGAAGGGTGGTAACAGTTTTGCTGTGAAAATAAAGAGGAAGTCAGTGATGGACACTGTGGCTTAGTTGGGAAAGACTGATGCTCATCGGACAGCTGAGTGTCAAATTCTGTTTCCATCTTTCTACTTCTCGTGAACTTCTCTCCTCTTTCTCAGAAACTCCCACTTACCATCTTCACCTCTCACACAGCAACAGATCACATATCTACTGTGTAAAGAGGCAAAACCCACTAACACAATGTGCCCAATGTTGTTCAGCAACATTTATCACTAACCTTTATCCTATGCCTTCATCTGCCCATTTACTCATATACTCACTTATTTTTCATTACTTTCATCAATCTATCCATTTCCCACATCCACCCTTCCATCCATCAACTCTTTCATTAGTGTCTCTATCCATCCTTCCTCCTTGTACCTACTATCATTTCTGTCCACAACATCCAGGCACCATCTTCCTCCCTTCCTTCTTTTTTCCCTTCCTTCCTTCTTCCCTTCCTTCCTTCCTTCCTTCCTTCCTTCCTTCCTTCCTTCCTTCCTTCTTTCCTTCCTTCCTCTCCCTGACTCACTCAACTCCACCTCACTCACCTATCCACTGACCATATCACCAATATCTTTGTGCTAGTTAAACTGATACAAAGGACCATTTTTTAGTTGGGAAACCAAAAAAAAAAAAATTAACTCATTGGTGTTAAAGAAATAACACAGGGAGAGGTGACAGTACAGATTGTCTACTTTAGCTCACATAATTAAGTAAAATGCAGGTGGGTGCTGTGAATGATTGATTGATAAATAAAACTCTGATTGGCCAGTAGCCAGGCAGGAAGGATAGGGTAGGTGGGACAAGGAGGAGAAGAATTCTGGGAGGTAGAAGGCTGAGGCAGAGAGACACTGCCAGCTGCCGCCATGACAAATGAGATGTAAGGTACCAGTAAGCCACGAGCCACATGGCAACTTATAGACTAATAGAATGGGTTAATTTAAGATATAAGAACAGCTAACAAGAAGCCTGCCATGGCCATACAGTTTGTAAATAATATAAGTCTCTGTGTGTTTACTTGGTTGGGTCTGAGCGGCTGTGAGACTGGTGGGTGAGAGAGATTTGTCCTGACTGTGGGCCAGGCAGGACCAGGAAAACTATAGCAACAGGTGGGACACTGAAAAATAAGTTGAAACCAATCATACCAAGACTAGAGAGGAGAGTAAATTGCATAGAAAAAAAAAAAGGGTCCTGGGGTGGAAATGATCTCAACATCTTCAAGGAGCGGTAAGGAGGCTGGGGTTGAGTATATTAGGGAAGCAGTAAGTGATGAAGCAGAAATGGATCAGGGTGCTACCATCACAGAAGACCTTGATAGGGATTTTTTTATTTTGATTTAAAGCACAAGTGAGATGGTAGTGGAGGGTTCTGAAAAGGAAAATGACATGACTATGTTTTAAAGTAATGCTGACAGCCACATGGAGATTTATGTAGAAGCACACAAGAATAAAAGTAGAGGACCATTTTAGAAACTACAGTCAACAAATGGGAGTTAATTATGCCAGAGTATGTAGCAGCAGCACTGTGGAGTACACATCAGTTACTAGACTGGTATAGTAAAACAAAATGTGGGCTCAGCTTTCAAAAATGTGTGCATTTAGGAGGGATGGGGAAAGCTCCTCAGGAAGACATGTTCTTCCCCAAACACCTAAAGTACTTCTTTTGAGAAGAAACATGCCAAATTATGATACTACAAACAATTACAAATCTACATTGTTTTTCATTTACATTATTCCATAAGCATATTTCCCAAGTCATAATCCTTTAATAAATACTTCTGGTGATGACTCTGCATACATTTCTCTACTTCCAATCTAAAATAATAAAAACAAGGGGTTCTTAGTGGCTCACTGGTAGAGCCTGCTCCAAGTATGTGCAAGGCACTGGGACCAATCCCCAATACCAAAAATAAACAAAACAAACAAGCAAATAAAACCAAAAGGATTTCTCCATTATATAGTTCACCTGGCAAGACGATAAAAACAGCATAAAAACAGTTGAGATTAAGTGATATTAAACACTCAGGAACTGCAATAGTTCTCATTTAATCATGCATCCTCAAATGGTCTCAAATAACATGTGACTTTCTTTCCACTTTACTCATGTACTATACTTCGGATATTGAGTGTTCAAGCCAGTGTGTTTGAGGCCTTTTCCTCAGCCTGTGACACTATTGGTAATAAAATATCCTATTAGTAAGAGGTAGAGCCTAGTGGAAGGAAGTTAGGTCATTGGACATGTGTGTCTGTTAAGAAGATACTAGTATAACGGTCTCTCCCCTTCCTCTTTATTTGCTTCCTGGCCACTGTAAGGTATGTATCATCATTCTGCCACACATTTCCTCACCACAATGTGCTGCTTCACTAAAACAACAAGGCCAAATGATCATGGACTGAAAGCTCTGATACTGTAAGCTAAAATAAACCTTACCTTTTAAAACTGATTACCTCAGTTCTGGAAACCTGATTAACATGGAACAGACTAGCCTCCACACATGATCATTATTTAATCAAGTCACCTCAGATCTATGACTGATTAAAATATTAGAATAAAAAGACCAGTCGGACAGTGGTGGTGCACGCCTATAGTCCCAGCACTCGGGAGGCAGAGGCAGACGGATCTTTGTGAGTTCAAGGCCAGCCTGGTCTACAGAGCAAGATCCAGGAAAGGCACAAAGCTACACAGAGAAACCCTGTCTCAAAAATAAATAAATAAATAAATAAATAAATAAATAAATAAATACTAAAAAGACCATTAATAGATTCTTGATGGCAAATGTCAACAGTTCCCCACCTTCAGAACCTGGGCTGCAGGGAAGTTTGCAGCTGTGGACTCTCATACTTTCGGAGTTAGAAGGACTCTATAATGGCCTTCTTATGTCATAGGCCATGGAGGTGAGGTACAGAGGGAACATCCAGTGACTTCAGAAACCTTCTTTCCTCCCCATGCACCTCTTGTCTTCCTCCTCTCCCTACCCTTACTCCCTCTCCAACTTCTCTTTCCCTTACTGTCTTCAGAAAGCATTCCCCATCCAGTTATCCAACAGGAAGTGTGGTTGAGGAGCTGTGTGTCTTTAGGTGGGAGGCAGGCAGGTACAACGTAGGATGTGAAGTTCACGGGCAGACACAGCTGCAGCATTGCAATGTCACTCCCAAAGGAATGAAACTTCTCAAAGTCTGGGTGTTTGATGATACGGTTCACAGATATCTTCTGAGTGTGCTGTGTTCTCTGGTACAGCTGAGTATTCCCCAACAGAACCTGATAGTCCCCTGGGGCCTGGGATTTGCTGAAAGATAAAGGATTCCATCATCACCATCATCTCTGAGTGGGAGGATAGTCCTGTCTTCCTGAACCATCATTTGTCACTGGCCACTGTGCCCTGTTCCATGCAGCTTGGTCTCTCCCTTTTTGACAGTCAAGTGTTGGGACAGTTTGAATGAGAATGGCCTCCATGGGTTCATATATTTAAATGTTTGGTCCCTAATTGGTAGAATTGTTTGGGAAGTATTAGAAGATGTGGTCTTGCTGGAGGAGATGTGTCACTGGGGGTGGGCTTTGAGGTTTCAAAAGCCCAAGTAAATTCTTAATTGCACCTCCCTCTCTACCTTGTGCATGAGCATCAGCCCTCAGCTACTGCTCTAATGCCATGCCTGCCTGCCTGCTGCCATGCTCCCTGCCATGATGATCATGGACTCTTATCTCCTAGAACAGTGAGCCTCAATAAATATTTTCTTTTATAAATTGCTTTGAACATGGTGTCTCATCATGGCAATAGAAATGTGACTAAGACAGAAGTTGATACCAAGGAATGGGCTATTGCTGTCACAGGCCTGACAAAGCTGCGTTTGTTGTTGTTTGTGAGAAATCCATTAGATTTTGGGAGTTTGGACTAGGAAAGCAGTTGAACACTTTAAGCAGGACTTAACTGGCCATCCTAGCAGGACCTTGGAAAACAATAGTGTTGATAGCAATGTGGACTGTGGAAGCACAGCTCAAGAAGTTTCAGAGTGGAACAATATTAGCAATTGAACTATAGACCATTCTTCTGTATTTTGGCAAAGAATGTGTCTACTTTTTGCACTTGTCTTAATAATCTTCTTGAGGCTAATTTCATTGACAGAGGAGAGTTCAAGACAGCCTAATACTGACTTGTTCACTTGGCTACTAGTGATCACCCTTATGCAGATCTACAACAAAAAAGAGCAAGCATGGAAAAAAGAAATACAAAATGTACAGTTTGAGAAGAAAAAGAACACCAAGAAATTTAATGTTGGAGACTTAGTTTATGCTGAAGAGATAAGGAGAATGAGAGGAGGGTGGTAAAGGGAATGGTGTCCTCAGGGTAAGACCTCACCCAGCTATTTCTGCAACTTGTGAAAAGAAAAGGCCTAAGGAATTACTTGCTCCTAAAAAGCAACAATAAATCAAAGCTTATGCAAATTCAATTCAAGAAGGGAGCCAGGTTCCATTCTAAGTAGGCAGCAGAATTTGGTGACATCAGCTATGCGGTTCTGGCTTTAGAGTCATGGAGGACACATGAGTAAAAGGGTTGTGGAATCTTTCTCTGTTGTTAAGAAAAGCTGCTGAGGCCAGGCATGTGGCAGGGGAATCCCTGCATGAAACCCAGAAAGGCCATTATGTGAAGTTGTGAAGGTGAAGCCTGGGTTGTGCTGGAGACCTCAGGATATTGGAGATGCCAGAGCTGCAACTATGGGATAACAGTCAAAGGGAGTTGAACCAATCCAAAAGAGAAAATTTATGTTGTAGTCAGAAAAGCTGGAAGGATAGATCCATCTGTGTCCTTTGACATTGGACATAGAGCTTCATGATTTGGAGTTTACGCTGCTGGGTTTCAGTCTTGCATTGGTCCAGTATTCCTCACTGTAGCCCTGTTCCTTCCTTTTTGAATGGTAATGTATATTGGAATACCACTGTATGTTGGAAGAATGTAATACACTTTTTTATCTTATAGGTTACAAGTAAGAAATTACTGTGAATCTCAGAAGAGACTTTGGACTTTGAAATGGTGTTGAGACTGAAAGACTTGGGGATTTCTGAAGTTGGACTAAATGCATTTTGTATTATGATATGGCCACAAGCCTAAGGGGGCCAGGGAGTAAAATGCTGTAGTTTAAATGAGAGTGACCCCCATAGGCTCATATATTTGAATGTTGGGTCCCTAGTTGGTGGAACTGTTTGGGAAGAATTAGGAGATGTGGTCTTGATGGAGGATATGTGTCACTGAGGGGTGAACTTTGAGATTTCAAAAATCTAATCCTGCCGGGCGGTGGTGGCGCACGCCTTTAATCCCAGCACTCGGGAGGCAGAGCCAGGCGGATCTCTGTGAGTTCGAGGCCAGTCTGGGCTACCAAGTGAGTTCCAGGAGAGGCGCAAAGCTACACAGAGAAACCCTGTCTCGAAAAACCAAAAAAAAAAAAAAAAAAAAAAAAAAATCTAATCCATTACTAGTTATCTCTCTCTCTCTCTCTCTCTCTCTCTCCACTTTGTACATGTGGATTGATATTTAAGTTTTCAGCTACTGCTCCAGCACCATGCCTGCCTACCTGCTCCCATGCTTCCTGCCATAATAGTCATGGACTCTAACCCTCTGAAACTGTGAGCCCCAATAAACATTTTCTTTTATAAGTTGCCTTGGTCGTAGTGTCTCATCATGGCAATAGAAAAGTAACTAAGTAGGAGCCTTCTTTCTGCAGGCTGATGGATATTCTATTCAAACCTCATGACAGAGTATTCCCCATTATATTTTAGAATTGAATGAACAAAGAATTTCAGCATTGGAAGGGTCCCTAATAGAGTCCTCAAATCAAACCTTTTAAATTTTTACTTAAGAAAAACTATGGCTGAATCCTATTTTTATGATTTAAATCTTACTCCTAAGCCAATAGCTAAAGGCATAGTCATTAGCCTGTGGTGCTATCCAGAAAGGGTGGAACATTTAGGAGGTGAGGCCTAGTGAAAAGAAACTATGTCATTAGGAGAAGGTGCTTGAAGACCCCCCACTTCTTTTCATTTCTTTATTTCCTAGCTACCATGAGGTGATCAGGACTCACCCACATATGTTCTTGCTGTGATTATCATAGATTCAAAGAACTAGAACAACTAACTTTGAACTGAAACCATGAGCCAAGATAATCTTTCTTATTTTTGTTCATTTTCTGAATTATTTGGTCACAGTGATGGAAATCTAACGTATTTTCCTGCCCCCTTACCAAGGATTGCTTCTCCACTTGGTGCTAAGCACTCATAAAGGACTTGTTAAATACACACATGAGTACATCAAAAGGAAGCTTTCCTTGTTCTTGAATAGGACTGAGTAAACAGCTTATGTATACAGCTTTGTTCCCACAGCTCCCACACTAGGAGGGTCCTCACCAACTCAATTCCTCCCTTCTGGTAGCCCCTGCAGCTCCTTTGCATTCCTCCAAGATTGCAGCATCGTTATAGACTTATGTTCCTCAGGGCTGCCCTCCTCACACACTTTGCCATGTCTTACCTGCACCATACTGATTGAAGCTTGTTCCTTCTGAGGGAAAAGAAACCTTTACTTGGGATCTCCTACATTCTGTTCCCTAAAGGATCTCAGGTGAATTCAGCACAAAATAGGTGCCAACAGGATTAAGCTAGAGTCTCAAAGCCAAAAAGCAAAGTTTCATTTCCCTGATCTGGACTGTTTAGCACCCATTCCCTCTGGGTCCCTCCATTTCTGATCAGAAGCTAGGCCCTCTGTATGGCTCCAGAGAGCCCGAGGAGTTAGACTCCGGGCTGTCTATCATTTGTTCAGGTTGGGGGGCCTGCACTTCCCATCCATAAAGCCTGATATGGCATAAGCATGACCACAATTTTTCCCATGACTTAGTTTTACAAAAGTAAGAAATTAACTGGCTGCTAGTCATATGTGGTCTTTGCCTAGAATCTGGCTCACGGGAGAGTAAGGGACAGTAAAATAAGATGAGGTCTGCAGGTAGACAACAAAGCATGGCCAATCCTCTTGGGAAACATCTGCATTAGTTGGCAGACACAGAGCAGGAGTATACGGATCCCTACAGGAGCTGAGAATTAAAGATAATGAGGACCAGGACAGATCAAGGAAGTTTTGATGACGTATGGGGCTAATCCAGGCAGAGAGAATTGTGGGTCAAGGAAGGACTGCCCCAGAGAGAAGTCCAGAGGAGAAAGGCATGTTATCTCTAACTTCCTTCCTCCTCTCATCCTGCATCTTTCTCACCAACTAGCCCCTCTCTGGGGGCTCCAGATAAGGCAAACTCACTTTAGAAAGCAGTGGGCCGTGGAAATCAGCCAGTGGGAATCAATGAGGACAGCTCCACAGAGATGCAAGCCCCGGTACAGCAGGCTGGCCTGCCATGGCCACTGGCCAGCAGATGTATCCTGGCCACCGAACACCTTCCCAACCATCTTCGGCTTCCCACACACTGAGGAGACACCCCCATGCAATCTGTTAGAGACACAATTCCTGAGAGGCAGAATAACACCCTAAGGAAGCTCCTCCACTTCACAGATTGGAAGATCATGGCAAAAGACAAGTGCAAATGACTTCGGGCCACCCTCTTCCCTGCTTTCACTGACCACCACCTTGGATATGAAAAGCTCCACTGACAGTTCTGTTGGAGCAGAAGTCTGGTAAAATGGGATGGAGCAAATAAAATGCTGGCCACAGCAGCCTATCCTTAAGTGGGCCTGCCAAGCAGGTGGACCAAAGGGAGGCTATATGACTTAATTTTCTCAAATAACACAGCTCTGCTTATTTTTCAAATAACAGAACTAGAAGTCTCATAGGTTACTGATATTAGTTGCTCAAGGTCATGGTTTCTCGGTGACTGTCCCAACTTCAGTCTGCCCAGTATCCCAGGGAAAGAGAATTACTGGCAGGACTCTGTGGTGCTTATGAGGGACCTGGGACAAGTTGCTTTACATTTCTAAAAAGAGACTGGGTGAGGCCAGTAATGACAACTTTGTTTCTATGATTCATCTGGGAACAGATTACTGGTCCCAGATCTTGATAGGCTGTCTTTATCTTCTCCCAGGAATCAACACCCCAAGCCTCGGGGTGCTTCATCCCCTTTGTCCCCACTCTTAGTAATCCCATGATTTCTATCAATGGCTCAGCCCTGGACACCATTTTGCTCCCATGGCACCACACAGGGAGCTAGGGTACAAAGAGGGGAACCTAAACCCCCTTGGTTCATATTTTCTTTGGTACCACCTGGTTCCAAGGGGAAGGCAAAAGAGGATCACTACTTCCGGTGCCTTATCTGGCCTTTACAGCCTCCACCCATCACCCACCCACTGGCTTTCAAACGGACCTTCCGCTCCGCTCACAGAATCCTGGTGCCTGAGGGCCGACGGTTTCCAGCCTTGATGTGGCTCTGGTCTCCTTGGTGCTACCCCAGGAACCTTTGAGGGACTAGGGACACCAGGCTTCAGGACAGGGCCAGCCTTGGAGCTCAGGGGCAGCAGTAACAGCAGGGGCCAGAGTAGGGGACTGGGCCTACAGGGGATCCTCACCGCCCTAGTGCCCATCCCAGATGCCAGGACCTGTGGGGTAGTTGGCCCTGACCTGGGCCTGACCCCGCTCTGACCCCGGCCTGACCCCGGCCTGACCCCTGCAAGGACAGTTCCTGACCTTGCCTTGAGACAGACCCCCAAGCCCTGCCCCATTCAGCTTTCCTGTCCGCTGTCACCGCCCAATCTGGACTATCCAAGACCACAGTGACCCTGGCTCTAATTCCCAGCCTCTAACCCATGTGTACCAGCAACAGTGCAATAGAAAGTTCCTGCACATCGATGAGCAAAACACAAGGAGTCCAACCACAGAAATAGGAAACCACTGAAAAGGAAATTCAGGCTGGGGATGTATCTCAGAAATAGAAGTAGGGAGATGAGGGGGAAACTGATGGGTTCACTAGGACTTCCCCATAAACCCCATACACACAGAAAGTTAATTCGTGGAAGAAGGAGAAACTAAAAAGATCCACACATAGGGAAAAATGTAATTAGCTGTCAGGAAAATAAAATACATAAAGTATCATCTCTAGCCATCAAATTGCAAGCATGTAATGAGACATAGTTTCCCAGTCTTTTGTTAATCAGCAATTTTTTTTCTTTACAGTGGTGGTAGGCACCTGAATCTCAAAGACATACTCCCTTCTCATCCTTCATATGATCTGAACTTATGTGAGAACCTGCCATTTCACATTTATTCATATCAGTCTTCATCACTCAGACAAAATCTTCGGACTATAGGTACTTCTATTTACCACTGCCCTAGGGAGAGAGGGATATAATGTAATAAATTGGCTGAGGACCTTAATGTAGATCTGACCACTGTCAGTCAGATCTTAGAGACTTCCTATCAAGATCTCTAAATTGAACTGTAGACATTCTCCTGACCCTGTGCTGACCTTTGGCCAGAGCCAAGTAGGCAGTTTGCTGCAACATTCAGGCAGTAGACCATGGAGGGGGCTATCCAGCAGAGCCTGATACCTGGAAGTCTATGTAGAGTGGCAGTGGGGGACAGGTGTGTTCAGTATGCTTTGATTCCTAACATTGTATGTGGGACAGCAGTTTGAATAACTTTTAGCAAGGCCTGAATAATAGTAGTATATTTTGGTGGTGTGAGGAATAGGATATCCTACATGGCCTGATCCCTAAATTTTATTTATTTATTTATTTATTTATTTATTTATTTATTTATTTATTTATTTATTTATTTATTTTGAGACAGGGTTTCTCTGTGTAGCTTTGTAGCCTTTCCTGGAACTCACTCTGTAGCTCAGGCTGGCCTCAAACTCAGAGATCTGCCTGCCTCTGCCTCCTGAGGTGCTGGGATTAAAGGTGTGCACCACCACTGCCCGGCTTCCTGATCCCTAAATTTAAGTTTGGTTGTAGATGTACATCAGGGCCTAAATCCAAACAGTGTTTTACTTGTGCTGACTGGGTATCCAGAAGGTCCTGATCCCTAGCAGTGTATGTGACCCACTACTACATGTAATCCTAAATAAACTGCTCAGCATCACTCCTGCTGCAGCTAGCTCCCCTTGGTCACTCTAATACACACGGAAAGTAGTTAGGCCATCGATTTTGGATTCCCCTGAATGCCCCACATACCTTGGTAGGTATTGGTCTATGATGGATAGATAGCTTTGGTTGCAAATTTGACTATATCTGGAACCAAGTAAAACCCAATCTGCTGAGCAACCCTGTGAAGGTTTTTTTTTTCTTTTCTTTTCTTTCTTTCTGTCTTTTTTTTTTTTTTCTTTGAGACGGGATTCCTCTGGATAGCCCTAGCCATCCTGAAACTTGGTCTGTAGACCAGGATGACTTTGAAATCAGAGATCCATCTGCCTCTGCCTCCCTAGTGCTGGGATTAAAGGCATGTACCACCACTGCCCAGCATGTGAGGGTTTTTCTTGGATTATCTGAAGACTCACCCTAAATTTGGGCCCATCTTCTGGTGGCAGCTCATATAAAAGGACATGAAAGAAGGAATCTTTGTTTTTTGCTTGTTTTCCCTCATTCTTGCCAGCAAGTTCATCTATCCTGTTACTGCCATCAGGATTAAATGCAGCATCTTCAGGATTCTAACATAGATTGAAGATCAGCAGCTCTCCAAGAATACTCTGGGTTTTAGCACCAGATGAGGACTACTGAGACATCCAGCCTCAAGAACTGAACAACAACCAGATTTTCAACCTCGCCATTGCAAGACAGCCATTGTTGGAGCACTCAGACCACGTCCTGTAAGCCAGTCTAATAAATCCCCTTCTCATTATGCACATATACACGATAATACAGAGTCGAGCCAGGGAAGAAGATCAGTGCTCTGCTCAGCCATCATCAGGGAAGCTTCCTCCTGCAGCAGATGGGAACAAATACAGGGACCCAAAGCCAAGCATTATTTACAGAGTAAGAGACCATGGAAGGCTCAACTCTAAATGGGAGGTCTCCATTATATCCCTCCCCTTGGAGCTCAGGGAACCTCACAGAAGAGGAGTAAATAGTGTAAGAGCTGGAGGACACCAAGAAGACAAGGACCTCTCTGTCAACATGATTGATGCACATATGAACTCACAGAGACTGAGGAAACATGCAAAAGGCCTACATTGATCTGCACCAGTTGGGGTCTTAGAGCTGAAAGAGGTATATTCATGCCCCCATTCCTAACCCAAAAGCTATCTCCAGTTGATGACCACTTGAAAATGAAAATTTAGTTTCCTCCAAGGAAGTCTCACTGGGAAAACAAACTACTTTTAAGGGTAGACTGCATGTCCAGCAGTATATGGCCAACAGAAAATGTACTCGATGGCATCTTTGGAGGATTCTTGTCTCATAATTTCATGTCAGGGCTTTTCCTTTAGTTTTTTATATATTTTTTCTTCTGCCTTACATGTCCTTTGCCTAATGTAGTGTGGCTTCCAGTTTAGTATTTTTGTAAGATTCCTAAGTGGGTCTGTTTCTTATGCCTTCTGTTGGGCTCTTTTCCTTCTGTTTGTTTTGTTCAATTCTGATGTATTGGTTTTGTTTTCCCTTAAAATATTTTATTTTGTTTTACTGTTGTCCCATTGAAGGCTGTTTGTTTTCTGATGAAAGACAGAAAAGAGGTGGATTTTGATGGGTGGGAAGAGGGGTGGTACTGGGAGGAGTGGAGGGAGAGAAAACCATGATCAGTATATATGTAAGAAGAGAATCTATTTTCAATAAAAAGAAGAAATGTAAAAACATAATATAACATAATACCTATATATGTATTTATTTACTCTATCAATTTTGTTCCTTTAGAAAACCCCAACTAATATGTGGGCTCTGGTGTATACTCATTTCCCTCCCCAGAGTGCACTGCTAGGTATCAAGCCCAGGTGGATACCTCACCCCACGTCAACACCCTCACACAATCCTGTGTATGGGGCCCTTCTGGATACCCTTTCCCCCCAAATAGCCCACATACACTGCTCTGTATCAGTTATAGCTGATATCCTATTATCAGGGTGTGTTGAATATTTTTATGTCAATTTGACATAAGCTTAAGTCATTTGAGAGGGAACCTCAGTTGAGAAAATATGTAGATGGAAGTTTCTCTGTGTCCTGCCTGGTCCCACAGCTACTCAGTCCCAAGTAAACATACAGAAGCTTACATTAATTATAAACTGTATGGTCTATGGCTCAAGCTTCATGCTAACTAGCTCTTACAACTTAACTCAACTCATTCCTATTACACTATGGTTTGCCACATGACTTTGTGGCATTACCTGTCTTCTCATATCTTGCTTCTCCCGAGGGGGGTGTGTGTGTGTGTGTGTGTGTGTGTGTGTGTGTGTGTGTGTGTGTGTGTGTGTGTGTTTGGTGGAGCAGGAATTTCTGGCCTCTGCAGAGAGAAACTGAACTGCCACTAGTAGGCCAGGGTTATTAAGCTAGCCCTGGTGGACTCTTAAAGAGCCACT